CTCTTAAGAATAGACTTGTCTAATACCAATGACAAAAGACCAGACTAACTGTGGGATGGTGTCAAGAACATCATATATGAAGAAACCAAAAGGTTATTAAAAAGACAGGAGAGAAAGAAAAGACCAAAATGAATGTCTGAAGAGACTCTAAAACTTGCTTTTAAATGTAAAATAGCCTAAAGCAAGGGAAAGAGGAGCCAGCACCCTTTAGAACTGGCAATTGAGCAAGTGCCAAGGCCAGTGAGTAGGCATCATGGTTTATATCTGTAGTAGGTACAGGTGTAATTAAATGTATTCAAATTTGCACAGACTCAAAAAAAAAACAATCCAACCAACAACAACAAAAAACAACAACAACAACAACAACATTGCAGGAACAGATAGTCTCATCTTTCTCCTCTGAGCAGCTGGTATATTTGAACTACCAACCTTCCAGTTAGCAATCCAACACTTAACCCACAATGCCACCTGGGCTCTTATGGTGGTGGTGGGCACAGGTTTGATAGCTGAAAAGGCTGTGATGGATTGTTGTTGTATGCTGTCAAGTCGGTTCCAATTCATAGTATCCCTGTATAGAGTTTTCAAGGCGATACATCTTTACGAGAGCAGAAAGCTTCATCATTCTCCCGGATAGCAACTGGTGGATTCGAACTGCTGGCCTTTTGTTTAGCATCCCAACATTTAACCCACTCTGCCACCAGGACTCCTTGCTATAATGAGTGCCCTGTTTTGATCAAGATTACGAAGGAGTTGGTCTGTCAGAAGTGACTGTGGCTCTGGTAGAGGAGAAGCAGATACTGACCTACAAAACACTGACCTGAACTATCTGACATCCCTAGATTATTCTGCTTTTGAAACCTACATAATTAGAAATGAAGTGGAAAGATTGACTACTAGATATCCAATTGAACTCAGTATGAAATGATCTGAACTTCCAGCTACTTCCTCAGCTCAGAAAAATGAGATTATTGCATGGAGAAATGTGTAAGCAATTTTATGGCCAGTTAGAACATCAAGTGATTCAAATTGAGAGTCAGGAACTAATGTCACAACCTGGATGAAATGCCTGGAGAATACATAATAAAAGTCTAGTTTGTATGATTGAATAAGCCCAGAAAGCACTCCAGAAGTTAAGAAAACATAGTTAGGATTTGAACTGGTGGCAAAAAAACATTGAGCTAACACTTGGGTCTAAGTTTAGGGAAAAGGTGTCAACTTGGGTATCCCTGGTTAGTGAGAAATATGAGATTTAATGGACTACTGTACAACTAGAAACTTAAATCTAGCAAATTAAGCATCAACGTGGAGAAAATATTCAACAAGACTTCTGAAAAGAAAAATGCATTTGATTATTTAGAAAGAAGTGAGTTCTACTTCCACAGAACATCAGGCATTTGAACTATTTATGAGCCATGAAGGACACCATCTATGGAAACCACTGATGGTTAGATATTTATAAACCATAGAATGTGTGAACTTTTTTATTATTTCTATTTGTACATTTTAACAAAATAAAATTTTTCACCTTGATGAAAACTTTTAAAGTTTTTTTAAAGAAAATTTTAGTCTTTAAAATCATTTAAAGAATGACTTTAAAATGATATTCTGACACAGAACTAATTTTGAGCTCCTTGTGTCTCTTTTTATATCCAAGAAATCTTTATGGAAAACATTCAACATGTACAAGCATTTGGGGTTATGCCCTTGTGTAATAAAGGAACAATTCTAACTAATTTTTTGATTGCCAGACAAAAAAAATTAAAAATAAAGTGGAAGGAAGAAATGAAGTAAAAGAAATGAACAAAGGATTTCAAAGGGATGCTTGAGAAGTCAAAGTTTAGTATTATAACGAGATATGCAAATAACTTGAGTGGGAAAACTGTAAAGGAAGGACAAGCTCAGCATTTCTGAAGCTGAAAGAACTGAAGAAAAAAGTCAGACCTTGAGTAGCAACAGTGAAGGTTTACATAGTTAAAATATTGAATGATAAAGGAAGCATCAAAAGAAGATTGATACAGAATCACTGGACCAAAAGAAGTGATCAATGTGCAACCATGTGGCGCTGTGGGTTAATGCGCCAGACTGCAAAGCCATTTTGAACTGCAAGGTCGGCGGTTCAAGCTCACCAGCTGCTCCTCGGAAACCCTATACAGGGTCGCTATGGGTCGGAATCGACTCGATGGCACTTAA